TATCTATCTATCTATCTATCTATCTATCTATCTATCATCTATCTATCTATCTATCTATCTATCTATCTATCTATCTATCTATCTATCTCTATATAGCTATATATCCATCATTCGATCCCATCTTTTAGTAAAGGGAATATTATTTATGAGAAGGAAAAATGATTAGGCAGCTGCGGGAGCTGTATTATATTTGTCCAGATTGCTAGGCATCTGCTTCGTAGGGATAAAACCAAGGATTATTAATACTGGGGACATTTTTAAAGGTCTAATGCTTGAAGCCATTGTGGCACAGAAGCTGATGAACGGCTGGCCTTTTTTTACGCAGATCTGGTAAAAATGTCACCAGCTGCGCCTGGCAAGCCCCACCTTCCTTTCAGGGGGGGCATCTTTGGTGGGTGGGGCCTCCTGCTTACATTCCTTGACTAAATTTATACACCGCTTTGGTTGCAGAGGAGTGAAGTCTTCATCCGTGGAAGTTCCTTAAAGCCAGCTCGTACAGGTAAGTCTTTGGCCCTTTAAAGTTAGAACGGCACCGTTGAAAAAGTGACTTATGATCGTTTTCCACACTTACGACCATCCCCATGGTCACCTAATCAAAACCTGGGCGCTAAGCAACCGACTGGTATTCGTGACGGTCACAGCAACCTCTAAATTGGGGGAGGGAGTCACGTGATCCTCGTTTTGCAACCTTCTGACAAGCAAAGTTAACGGGGAAGCCATTCACTTAACGACGACGTCCCTCACTCAACAACTGCAGCGATTCACGGCAAAAAAAAAAGGGCCGTAAAATGGGGCAGAACTCTCTTAACAGCGGTCTCCGCTTAGCAACATGAATGCTGGCCTCCGTTGGGGGTCGCAAGCCTGCTGCATCTTGCAGGGAAACCGGCATTTCGGGACAGACGCGGCAAGTCGGACCAACCTGTCCATGATGAGCCCGTGAGGGATGAAGACTTTGTCCAAATCATCCGCGTAATGTTTGGGGATGCAGAACAAATCCAGGTCGTAACCTTGTTCGTCGTCTCCAATCTAAAAGGCGCGGAGGGGGAACAAAAACAGGGCGAGGTCAGAGATAACGGAGTCCTTCCGGGATTGGGCGGCATATAAATTTTAACAATAAATAAAATAACAATAAATAAATGATGCGTCTCTGCAGAGAGCAGCCCACAACAGAAGCCAGGGAGGGTCTCTGGGTTTTCTCCCCACCCGGAATCCGTGGCCTGGGGTGGGGGGAGTTGCGTGCTTGGCATTTTTTGGGGGGTGGGGGGAGTTAAAATCTCAGGNTTTTCTCTTTCTTTTCTTTTCTCCCTCCCTTCCTTCTCTCACCCAGGAATCCTAGAAATTGAAATTCAGAAATCTTAAAAGTTGCCAAGTTTAGAGACCTCTGCTACGGAACCTACACAACTTCAGTCTTGTTCTTTTTTTTCTTTTCCAATTTTCCAATTTTTTTAAAATACAACTTTATACAACTTTGAGAAGCCAGAAGCTGGAAAAAAACGGGCTCTCTCGAGCCTCGTGGAAATCCAGCGAGACAAACCGCTATCGGGAGGACTTCAGACCGAAACCTGCCCTGGAGGGACGGGGGAGAAGAAGGGATGTCTCGGATGACCTAGAGTTCCTTGGGAACTTGGAGAAAAGCCCTTCAAACCAGCAGTGGGGGAGGCAGCCATAACCAAATGACCACTAGAAAGCTGGGGCATCTGGACTAAGTTTTTGTGCCGGAGCGGGGTTGGAACCGAGTGTTGAAACTGGGTGAATGATTGACCAACTCACAGGAAAAAAAGAAAAAGGGGATCTTAATCTTAAAAAGTGGAATTAGTGGCTAACTGGCTTTCGGGGAATGTTATTGAAAAAAAGGAGGCAGAGGAGGTTAAAGCACCGAAGCCTCAGAGGATTTTGCCTTCTGCAGTTTGGAAGTGGAGAAAAATTAATAACCGACAGGAAGAGCCCAGGGGGAAGTCCCTTTCCTCTTTATTTTATTCTATTTTTCGTCTTGTTCCGACTTCTGCCAAAGGACCAGGTTTCAAACACTGGCTGATGCCAGGCAGAAAGAATCAGGGCCATTGCGTCCAATTGCAGAAGTGCAGAAGATGGATTGCTCAATCTCTTCCACAAGGATCTAGTCAGCCAAAGTTCAACATTAAACTGGCACCGGATAAGAGTCAACAGGATTCAAGAGGGGTTGGGCTACAAATCATGGATGGTCACCTGATGATGCTCGGCTGATGACATGTTTAACTGGGCCTCCTCTTCTCCTATCGCTAATCCTTACTGCAAGGTTAAATATTCTCTGTTTTTCCTTTACGTCTTGCAAGTGATAGGTGAAGCTGGAAGACCAGACCACCAAAAGCCAACAGCCACGGGCAAAACCATTTGGGGGATTATTTATGTGCCATTACGTTGGTGTTAATGACCAGATGTCCCAACTGGACTTTCTTGTGTTTTCTTTGAGAATGTTTCGCTTCTCATCCAAGAAGTTTCTTCGGCTCTTACTGGATGGTGGGGAATGGAAGGATTGATGGTCATCTGCAGCCTTTCAGAGGGCCGTTGAGGTCACTTGGAGGTTCACCTGTGTCCTCAGGGTCACCTGAGTTGGGGCAAATGGTTCCTGTAATCTGCAATTCTCTGGAAAGCCATTCCTACTCCCACACCATCCCAAACTGTATAGCTAAAAGTCTGTAGAGATTCTCATCCAGGGTGACTGAGAAACTCTACAGACTTTCAACCAAATAGATCTTCTCCTGGATGATTCGTCCCCAATCTGGTGCTGGGAGTCTTCCTATGGAGTCCCCAATAAAGACCTCTCACTACTTGCCATCCTCTTCTGCTCTTCTCTTTACGTCCTCAGCATTATGGGCTTATTAAGAGAGCTCAGGCCTTCACTGCCTGTATAATAATTTGAGCCTGGTCATCCGTGCCTCAAGTGAGAACTCTGGAAAGGGGGTGAATATCCGGTGAATTCATTTGTTTGCAAGGGAGACCTCCTCTCCACACAGGAGAAGGGCTCTCTGGTATCTCTAATACGGGCGGCTAATTGCTCTGCACATGGCAGAGTCCAAGACTTCGCTTGCTCAGCTATCCTGAGGGATGAAGACGAATCTGCGTGCAGAACAAAATGGCAGGGAAGGAAGGAAGGAAGGAAGGAAGGAGGGAGGGAGGGAGGGGAGGAAGGAAGGAGGGAGGGAGGGAAGGAAGGAAGGAAGGGGAGAGGGAGGGAGGATGGAAGGATGGATGGAAGGAAGGATGGAGGGAAGAAGGATGGATGGAAGGAAGGATAGATGGAAGGAAGGGTGGAGGGAAGAAGGATGGATGGAAGGAAGGATGGATGGAGGGAAGAAGGATGGATGGAAGCAAGAAAGGAAGGAGGGAGGGAGGAGGGAGGGAAGAAGGATGGAAGGAAGGAAGGAAGGAGGGAGGGAAGGAAGAAAGGAGGGGGAAGAAATGGAGGAATGTGGAAGGAAAAAAGGAGGGGTGGAAGGAGGAAAAGAAGGACAGAGGGAGGGAAGGATGGAAGGAAGAAGGGAGAGGAGAAAGATAGGATGGATGGATGGATGGATGGATGGATGGAGGAGGGAAGATGGATGGAGGGAGTGAGGGAAGGCAGGAGGGGGGAAGAAGGAAGGAAAGACAAATGAATGATGAGGAAAAGAGAGAGTGGGAGAGGAAGGGAGGAAGAAGAAGATGAAGCTGCAGGCAAGAAACCGAAGGCCACGTTACTTCTAAGAATCTTCCAGAGCGAACAGGTTGCCGGTCTGGATGTTTACCCGCTCCCAACTCCCAATCTTTTCCCAAGGTGCCCACCTCCTTCTACTGACCCCTCACCCCAACCACGCCCTTAAGCCCCCTCGGATCACCCAGAAATATTAACCGAGATTTTGGAGGCTGAAAGCGGCTCTCCCTGCCTGTCGCTCGAAGAGCCTCGGAAAAAAAACCGCAGGATTTCTTATTAGCAAGTCATATGGAAATCCAGGCGCCCAGAAACGGATCCATTTATTCAGCCTAATCAGCCAATTCCTGAGCTGCGTGTCTAGTTTTATAATAAATCTCATTATCTTCCCAACGTGAAGAGTCTGGAGTTTATATTATATTGTGTGATGCGGTTCTTGCAGCCGGCTGCTTCGAACACTTATAGGAAACGGGGGGAGGGTGGGAGGGATATTTACTATTCTAAATATGTACATAACTGCCACACATTTCTATTTAGAAGCCAGGCGAACATTGTAAAGTGAAAATGCTTAGCACCGGCTCCCTTATAAAGAAAAAAACACCCACCAAGCCGCAAAACTGGTTTCTGAAAGGGAAATTCGCCACAGGTGGCCTTTGACACACAAACCATTTGTTTACTGATCATTCAGCACTACAGCGAACCTGGGGGGGGGGGAAGAGACTCACAATTGGTCCTCGCATTTACGACCGTCTCAGTATCCCCTGGTCAAAACGTGGTCGCTTGGCAATGGGCATGGATTTAACAGATCTTAACAGCTTAACACAGTTGGAAGGTACCCTGGAGGTCATCTAGTCCAACCCCACTGCCCAAGCAGGAGACCCTACAGCGTTTCTGACAGATGGCCATCCAGTCTCTTCTTGAAAGCCTCCAGGGATGAAGCTCCCACAACTTCTGAAGGCAACTCCTGTTCCATGGGTTGATTGCTCTCACTGTCAGGAAGTTTCTCCTTGTTTCTAGGTTGAATCTCTCCTTGAAGGAGGAGGAGGAGGAAGAGGAGGAGGAGATGGAGGATGGGGGGGGGGATGAGGAGTAGCAGCAGCAGGAGCAGGAGGAGGGGAGGAGCAGAAGGAGGAAATCCACAAAGCTCCAATATTAAATTCTCCACAGCCCTTGAGCGCAAGAGAGGAAGCAATTTTCAGCTCACATGTAGTCGTAAACCGAGGACTAACTACAGACAAACTTTTTCAGGAACTCCCACCCAGAACTTTTCAGGTGTGTGTGGGGGAGCCAGCATCACAAGAGGAGGAGGAGGAGGCAGAGGAGGAGGAGGAGGAGGAGGAGGAGGAGGAG